TTAAGTACTTGTGCAGGATGTGTAATCATTTCTGCCTCACTCGGGTTGTTTACGCCTCAAGTGACGCCTTTGTTCCTTTTATAGCTCTGTAATGAAGCTTAACCCATTTCCTGTATCATTAGGTCTGGCTCCCAAGCCCGTTCCAAGTCCAGGACTCCAGCGAGAAGGTGGGTTGTTAAAAGATAATGACAGCTTGTGTCAGACACATGCAGCAGTCGTCATAAAACCCTCTCTGTCCTGGTGACATGATGGTAGACTGATGCAGACTGTGACATGCTTTAAATGTATGCTTCTTTTGTTTTAAACATTTCTCAATGATCACTTGTGGCTAAAGCTAGAATTATGCTTCCTGTAAACACTAACAGAAAAAAACAGAACTTCCTGTTTAAACTGACTAATTTGCTCCTCGTTTACAGATATTTATACATGCATCTCAGCAGAAGAATCAATTCAGTGATAAATCTGTTTTTCTTTCTCTTTTTCAGTCGCTCCAGATCTAGATCTCGTTCTGGATCTGCACCCAGGGGACGCTCCGCACCCCGTGGGCGCTCTGCACCCAGGGGGCGCTCTGCCTCTCGCTCCCGCTCTCGGTCCCCATCAGCCAACCACAAGAGGAACAGGTAAACCCTGAAGTCTAGATGTCTCTCATTCACAAGCTCTAGGCTGATTGCATCAATTTCTTGTGCTTAGTCATGCAAGCTGTCAGTGTTGCCAAGATATCTTAGCAGTATGTAACAGCTCAGTTAAACAAAGTTCATGATCTAGATTTTCAGATATCAGTTTAGACCACATCTATCCTGCGTTTTCAGAGAGGGTCAGTTCTTCTCGATTAACCAGAGCTAGGTGCTCCATGCTAGGCAGGGAGACTATTAGATAGACCCCTCTTCCACTCGGATGCGTCATGCTGCAACTGGACGACTGCCACACGGTGCTGAGATGGACGACTGACACTCCTCCGCATCATCGACACCTGAGAGATCTGCAGCTTCTTCCATGCCCCTTGCCCCTGCTGATGGCCCTTTAGTGGAGTGCGAGGGGTAGACAGTGACTTGTTTCCTCATGTCTGGCGTCAGGAAGTATAAGTAGAGAGAATATGAGAGGTCTTTTTTGTGCTCTCTTTACAAACATTTGAAAGCTCTGCACTATCAGCTCTGTTTCTGCACAGTGCAGCTTCACCAGTATCACTTTGTCTTGGAGAGAGAGCACAAGAAAGACCGTCTCCACTCTGTTCAGAATAATCACAGCTTAAACCAATTGGAGCATCCTTATGATTTATAACTGCAACTCTCTTCTATTCTTAATGAATACATTTAGGCTGAAAGACAAATATTTTCATTGGATTGACATGTGTTAAGTTAATTTAGTCAGGTTAGAATTGTAACTGTGTTTTTTTTTTCTTAATTTCTTACTCTGAATTTGGCTAGCTCAGTAGAACTCTCCAGAATAAAATGTAGCAGAGATCAGGCAAACGACACCATTGGTGTGACTTAGGTAAAGCATCTTTCCAGCACAGTTTTGTTTATTTTTCATATTTTCTTTAAAGCGTGTGGTGGGAGCTGCGCACTGCACTGACACCACAGCTGATCCCAGGCCCAGGGTCTGCCAGCTGGCGGTGTGTACGTCCTGCGGGAGGGTGACATAGCGCTGACCTGAGATCAGCCTTCGTCTGCACCTGGTGTTAGACAGCGAGAAAGAGGTCGACCTACAGACCGAACCCTCCCTACAGTGAAAGGGTGACCGTCTGTTCAACCGACGCACACGCTCAGACGAGATCAGCCCGCGCACACATTCAGTTGTTCTACTAGAGTCACCCAGACAGCCTTCAGATCTACCAGAGGGCTGACCACACAGATCAGAGTTCGACCACTACCTTTAAAAATCCATAACCTACCTACCAGACCCCCGTATCTACCTACCAGAGTTCTTCGGCCTCTGACTTAGCTTCTGAAAGTGAGAGAAAGAGCTGACGAGAGATCAGTCTTCAAGAGGCTCCCAGCGCAGTGTCTCTCCAAGTTGTAGTCATCCGTCCTTCAGTCCTTTCATCCTTCGCTTCTCTGTACTTGTTGTTTCTGCCACTGTCTGCAAAGGTAACCAAAAAAATCCAACCCCCTGACTAGCTTATGTTCATGGTGACAGAAATATGTACAGGTTTGAAATAGTCTGGGAAAACTGGTGACTTTTTAAGCTAAGGTTGAGCCTTTTAACATGCATGCTCAGAGTACAAATGTGTGAGAGTGTGTGGATGAGAAGTGGAAAGCAGCATGAAATCTATAGGCTGATGTGTGGGGGGGCTTGGTAAGATATTATTTTATTATGTGTCACAATATCATTACCATTTAAAGCCATTAATGTCTTAATTTTAGTGTTTAGTGCAGTCTCTCTTTGGTCACATTAGAGGTTTCCCGCCCTAGAGCCCGACCGATAAATCGCCCAGCTGATAATTTCAGCCGATATTGGCAAATCAAGTGACTACCAGTGTCGGCTAATTTTATTGCAGATATTACTAGATTTATATACCAGACAAATAGCATTTAATTTGAGTAAATAGCAGTTTCTGTCGCCAGCAGAGGGCGCTGTAAGCATTTTAACAAGCATCAAAATGTCAAGCAGTGACGCACGTACATGTGCACTTACTTTCCAGTTGATTGACCATCTTGTATTTGTTATTCTTTCTATCTTTTCCACAAGTCTTTGATACTTGCATTTTAGAGTATCTGTAGAGATAAAAAGATATCGGCATCGTTTTTTTTTTTTTCTCTTCTCCCCTTTTTCGATATCGGCCCAAAACATTCTATATCGGTCGGGCCCTAGTTTGGGCCTCAGTCCACATTTGAGTGTTATTAAAGGAATAACAATCTGTTCAAACTAAAGCAGACTTAGTGAAGGACTTGTATTTGAAAGGCTGTTGATTGCCTCTGGGGATTAGATTATGTATTTAGCTTTTTTTAACAGGACAGTTATTTCTCAGAAACTTAAAGATTAGTGTCCTTAGTTTACAGATTAAACTAATTAGTGGGTTTTTGTGTTAAACATTGATCTGACAAGTCAAAGTTGTTTTCAAACATATCAGGGCCAATCCATAATTAATGAAGTGTTGAGCATTTTGTCGTTTTTTGTGACCTTTCTTTCACCCTCCCCTGTGGCATGCTAACTCCTCTCCGTTTCTGTTTCAGTCGTTCCCGATCAGCAAGTCCAAACCGGAGCCCTACTCCAGCAGAAGACTGAGTGAGGAAGATTATAAGTCCCACCTAATGCTCCCCCCTTAACAGACAGACCCTCCCTCTCACCCCTGCTTCATGTCTGCTTTTACAACCTAGCAGAAGCTTTTTTTTTTTTTTTACTTGTCTGTCTCTCCCCACAGTTGAGTTTAAGTTAAGTAAGTTTACTGAGGATTAGTTTTCTCCAACAGGGGTGCAGAGCTACGGCCTCGGATTGCTGAAGATTTAGTCAGTGTGGTGAAAAAACATCAGTTTCTATTTGATTGTTTTAAATGTTGTTGTGATTATCTTCTTACGAGTCATGTTTGCAGTGTAAGAATCAGCACCTATGTTGACGTAATTCTGAATGTTGAAGACGACTTTTAACAGGGATTTGGATCATTCTAGTGGAAGCTTGCCCTGTACGTATGTGCAGTTTGTAAGGGTGAGGACATTGCATCTTTTATTCTCAAAGGTAAAAACTCTGAACCTTTTCCTCCCACAACATAAAAAAGGAGACATCGTGGATTTTTTTGTACACCCTCCCTTTTTTTATATTTTTGGGTTCATTATATGATTTATGAAGACAGTTTACGGTCTGCATGCCTCTGAAAAATGGTCACATTCCTACTGCTGATTCTCTGTGCTGACCTGCCCTTCTTACAAACCTGATGAACTTCACTGTTAGCTGAAAAAAAGGTTTCCGTTTGTGTTGATCCCCGATTTTTGTTTCTGTGAATTTTTGATTTTAAAATCAATACAGTGCTTCAGTTTGATTTCTGTAATGGCGGCTTTAACAGTTTTGTTCTGTTCCTGGCTCATATGGTAAGACAGTGGCAGTTTTATTTTTGAATAAACCTCTTCAACATACCTCTGTGGTGTTTCTGTATTTACTTGAACACTTTCGTCTGTCTTGACTGATGAGCTTATATAATTTTAACCTTAAAAAGACAGAATTCCTCTGAATATAATTTGTGTGGTGAGACACTAGGTTAATTAAAGTGATTCTACTTTACTGCTTTGCAAACAAAGGAGCACAATGTGATAAACATACTGTAAACACTTGCTGCTAAATTGTCTTCTCTCTGGTTAGATAGATACTTTATTGATCCCGAGGGAAATTCAAAGCATCCAGTAGCATTTTACAAAGACATGCACAACACAAAACATTTGTTACAAATAAACAACCTCGCCCCTCCCTCTCCCTCCCATACGTAGGCTATATATATATAAACCTGAAACAAACATTTAGGGAAGCCCCTACTTGAATTAAAATTAAACCTGTACAATTGCAAATAGACTTGCATTCCAAAAGAAATACATTTACATAACCAAATCAGGGATACAAATATATGTGCAATTTAAACGAAACCTATCAATAGTTAGTTTACACTGGTAACATTAGGCCTGTATATACAAATAAAAAGTTCAGACCTTCTGAAAGTTTGTTGTTTATGTATGTACAGCAGTTTATTAAATGAAGGTAGTGCAAAATGTATATAAACAGACTTTAAACAACATGTTATCAAAGAGTTAGGAGATTAATTAACACTGAAAGTTCATAAGTGAAGGAGAGGTAGTCAAAAGTATCAAAATTAAAGTCTGTTCCATAAAACTCCTGACTGTTATTAAGCAGTATAAACAAGCTACCTAAGGTCATTCGTGTACTGCTAGTAAAAGCCCGTCTGCAAATCCTCCCCCCCCCATTGGCCACGACTCAAGTCGCTAATTGATTGACAGCTGGCCGAGCCTATCACAGACCGCGTTACCGTGGCGTCGGGCGTGGCTACTCGAGCCTAGTTTCTCTTGACTTTTCCGTCCATCTCAGCTCGGCGTCACTACCACCATCCTTTTTAACCAGGACAACATGGCTACTGCAGCGAGCCGTTACTACAGCGAAGACGGCAGGGCAACGAAACGACAGAAAACCGACGGAATGGCCACGGTGAGTCGATACGGCGCGATTCGTTACCGGAGAGACGTTAATGTAGCTTAGCAACCGAGGTCGTCGTGATCTTTGGCCGGGTTTGATTCAGTCAGTTGCGCGGAGGGGGGGGAATGTGTCACGACGCCACATATTTAGTCATTAGCTTACATCTAAGCAAAACTCTAGGTTTTTATTAGATTTAACGGGTCCACATTGTTTTAAATACCTATTTATTTAACAAGAACCGTATTCGGAACATGATTCGTACGTATGCGGCGCTGTGTGGTTTGAATGGGCTAATCTGAGGGCGGTTTCTCCAGACGGGCCTAGCTTGATTCGGTGTTATGTCGAATAGTGCTACCCTTCGAAATGTGCGGCCATGCGGGTGTTTGCTCTAACCAACAGGGAGCTTTATTAGTTAATCTTCAATACTAGTTTTATGATAAGAGTATGCAAAAAATGCAGCAAAATAAAGGTGTTTCATGGCGATTATGTAACGGGAGAATTACTTGATGTGAGATTAATTGTTCTCGAGATGTGCTTCCCAAGAAATATTAAATAATGAAGTACTAACAACCTGCGCCACATGCGTTGAAAACGTTTTTATAGAGTCGTTTTATACTGGTTTTATTGTTTGATGTGGGATACTGACTCGTTTCGCGCTATGTTGGCATTTTTCGTCAAGGCAGCTAATCTCGACATAACACCGGGCTTTGTTCTAATACTGGTAACGTTAGCAGCATGCTAACTAGCCTTCAGCTACATCCTCAACATGTTTAGCCTCTTCATGTAAGCATCTGTTTGTTGGGGGATTTGCTTGTAGTTTAATTGCTCGCCAGTGTGATGTATGTCTTTACATTTGTAGGTAAGGTAATTAATTAAAACATTTAAACAAAATGTAACCACAACAGATGACCTAACCAGTTTCAAACCCCTCCCCCCTGTCCTGACTGAACCCAGGTGAAACAGTATTTTGCATTACAGGTGCACTATGTAGTGAAATTTGTTTAAGTGAAACAATTCTATGCTATATTTTCTGAACTAAGTACACACACTTTATTCAAAGGAAAAAATGAGGCCTTGGACTCTGTTTGAAGCTTAAAAGCTACCAGGAGAGAGTTACAGTGTCACTGTTACGGACCCCCCACCACAACTTCTCGAGTGTTATCTTCAGTGTGGAGTTATAAACAAATACCTCAGAATCTAATTTTCTCCAACTCCAACAATTTCTCTATCAAAACTCTATAGTGCACCTTTAAAGTGTTATCATATGGGTATTAATCGTCTCTATTCAATGTATGGTCGTTGAGTTATATTCTCAAAATACACATTACACATCCTTATTTGTTATCATTATATTCATCTCCTTTCCCTGGTTGGATATCTGATCGAGGCCACCCTAAAAAAATAAAAACCCAGAAAGAGGCGGTTCACCTTTCAGAAAAATCCCTACCATAACATATACATGCAGTAAATTGCACAGGAGACAAATTAATGTATTTTAAGCCACAACATCTCAAACAGATGGGTGTTATTATTCCAGTATTTTAGACTTCTCTGATTAGATTACTTGTAGGTAATGCTGTGTTTTATCATTGTATTTAATTATATTCTTCACATCATCAACTGCATGTCTGTCCTGGACCCTAAAAGAGGGAGTCATCCTTTGTTGCTCCTCCAGAGATTTCTTATATTACTTTAACCCACTGTTAAAGCATTTCTTGATTGTGTGTTGTACATCGGTAAATCTCCTTTAGGCTAATTGTTATTTTGATATTTGGTTATACAAATTAAAAGTATTTCTTTGTTCTCTTCCAAAGGGATATGAAGATCCTCACAAAACCCTTCCATCTGTGGTGGTGCACGTCCGGGGACTTGTGGACGGTGTTACCGAGGCGGACCTTGTAGAGGCTTTACAAGAATTCGGGACAATCAGGTAGAAGATCTGAATATGTGTAAAACATAAAGATAGAGGTCATTGCTGCCAACTGGGAGTGTGATCTACTTGTGTTTACAGCATTTGAATCTAACTGCTTCATTTGCTTTTTGGTTTTTAGTTATGTTGTGGTAATGCCCAAGAAGCGCCAGGCACTGGTTGAATACGAGGATATGAATGGGTCATCCACAGCTGTAACTTATGCTGCAGACAACCAGGTTTACATCGCAGGCCACCCGGCCTTTATCAACTACTCCACGAGCCAGAAGATCTCCAGGCCGGGAGACTCTGACGACTCCAGAAGTGTCAACAATGTTCTTCTGCTCACCATCATGAACCCCATCTACCCCATAACCACGGTAAAGTCACACATTTCAAAATGCTCTTTGACTCGTTTCTAGAATTATGGAGTGTGATCCCATTTTGATATGACCGCCTTTTAATTCACATTGACTATTGACGACCATTAGTGGATGACTCTCTGAAACTTTTTTAGTCTGAACAGCTGCAGGCTGGTTTTAAACGGTCTGTTCTGCTAAGTAGTAAAGAGAAGTCTTTTAAAAGGAACGTCCTTCTTTTCTGTTCTTCCCGAGTTAGTTACATTTTGTGCTGTTGAGATGAGAAACATCACTCTTTATAGAAAGCTAGTTACTTCTGGAGTGCATTCTGCAACATCAGTGGTCTGGATTTAGTTGCTGCAGAATCAGTCTGCACGTTGCTTTTTCCTCATAATCTGTTAATCTGTCATGGTTTTAGTGTATAAAATGCTAAATAGGATCAGGATGGTTTAGATGCTGAATAAAGAGCAGCTGTCAATGTTGTAAATGATGAAATTAAATTTAGAGTGCTCAGCCTCTGGTCACTTCCTGTCAGCTTCTGTGTTTCTGATCAGACTTTAGGCTGTTCGTCGTCAGTTGCTGACGTTGTTTCCTCCTCTCTAGATCCTTGCTTGTATTGTTCTGACTCTCTGATCCTCTAAAAGGTGTCCGCTAAATGAGTTGTAAATATCACCCACCTAAGACTCCATGTTCATGTATTCAGAAGATAAACACGTTTTTGGCTGTTACCCTAAATGTTTTCAATAAGAACATTATTATCTCTTATCGTGGACATTATTACAGTTTTTCAAAAGCCGGTGTTCTAGGAAACCAAAGCCCCTGACTCAGCATTGAATTGTAAATGCACGTTCAGTCTTACTTAAGCTTGTTGTGGTCATAACAATTTAAATGCAGGAGTTCAGCTTTTTAAGATAAAACATACAGAACACATCATTTAAAACAGAACATACCAAACAAGCTTGAAGCAGTGAGTTTAACATGTGTTTGTTGCCTTTGGAAGGATAAAGCGCCTCTTTTTAAACTTGTTTTTTGTACTCTTAACAGGATGTTCTCTACACCATCTGCAACAACTGTGGGCCTGTTCAGAGAATCGTCATCTTCAGGAAGAACGGAGTCCAGGCCATGGTTGAATATCCTTTTAACACAACTTGACTCAGTTAACTGAATACACGTGTATTTCCATCACATGCACATGTTGCAGTGTGACACTTAATGAACACAACAGTGATTGATGTAGTTTTATTACAGAAACATGTTTGGTATGTGAGGTCCTTTTTTAAAACGCCTACAACCAGATACAAACAAACCGTTCAGACAATAATGTCCCTCATCGTGCAGGTGTATTTCATGGATTTGATCATGTATAAAGAAGCACCTGCACGCTTTCTTTCTATTCCACAGGAGAACTTTGGTTTAAACGTGTCTATATCACTGTGGAATGAATGAAGCAGGTTCCCATCAGCTCATTATCCGGAACAATTTAGTAGTGTGCATGTCATTTATATATTATTTAAAGTAACCAGGTAGTCCAAAGTGTTCTCCTTAATTCTGCCATCACATTCGACTCTGTGCAAAGCGCCCAGCGAGCGAAAGCATCACTCAATGGAGCCGACATCTACTCTGGCTGCTGCACGCTGAAGATCGAGTATGCCAAGGTAAGATTACAGAGAAATGAAAAGGGTGTGATGGACACCGACAACATGAACACCTGCACAGTCTCAGCATGTAGTTTGATGAAACATAATTTTGGCCCTGTTTCAGTTCAGCGAGTAATCCTTTTTTCTCAGCCTGTTTTGAAATCCTCCTCTTTTAGTTGGATGTACTCATATGAATTGTATTTCCTCAGCCGACTCGTCTGAATGTGTTCAAGAATGACCAGGACACCTGGGACTACACAAACCCCAACCTCGGAGGCCCAGGTAAAACCTCAAACTCACAAACTCTAGCCCCAAGCTACTGCTCAGCGCCTCACACGCTTTGTAGCTGAGAAATACTGACACTGTAACCCTGACTGCCTTACCGTCACTGTGATTAATTTTAGCGAGCGAGCTACCGGGAAGAAGGAGCCCACACCCTTCTTTCAAAATGCCACAGAAAAGCCTTGATCTAACATTCCTGAACGAAACTTGTGTGGCATTATGACTGAAGGGTCACCTTGGGTTTCCTCTAACACTTCTCTATACACACCTTGAGCAGGAGTTAGGATCAGCTGAAGTAGCTTATGACAACCCAACCGTGAAAACCCTCTGCTGTGTGGTATGAATGGCTGGAACACAGGCAGTCAAGGTTACGTGCTCTTCAGATAAGCTTTATTCTTAGAAGGAGCACAATTTGTCACAGTAGAAGACAACATTGTCTAGAAGCCGTCTTCCTTTATACCTCGAGGCTAGCGTTCTTGTTCATGGTGGCATGTAGTTATTCTAGTTTGCATGTTGGTGTGAAGAAGAGACGTGCTGCCTGAAACCTGTGGAATCATGATTAATGAACAGCTTAGGTTGATATTTCTTTAAATGTCATGTTCTCAGGGACTGTTGGGGGCTTAACCAGCTCTTTATTTTTGCTTGACCCGATTTTCCAAAGGGATTTATTTACTGAATAAAACCCAAATTCCTGCTTTAATGAAACTCCTCAAAATGCATGACATCAGCATGAGAAACCATTCAATATGTCTGACTGTTGGCACGTTAGATTCCACATTTACTGATGGGAGTTATGGGTCCTTCAGTAAGTCTGAACTCCCTGATGTGGCTGTATACAAAAAAAAATCTGCCAGACCCCTAGTATTTTTTCTGCAGCAAATCTGAGTGAGCTGATGTGAGAACGCAGCAGGATATTCTCCAGAGAATTCACCTCCAGCCAATAGGAGAGGGGAGTGACATTTAAATCCTGTTTCTGCTGCACGATGCATAGTGTCTGCTCTGTGCATGTAATTTAGCGGTTGCATCACATTCTGTTCGTCAGTATGTTGTTCTCCGCTCTTTAGTTGATAGTGTGATTCAGCTGACGGCCATGTTTATGACCTCCTTCCTCTGTTTACATACTTCAGTTATGAGGACACGTACCTGTCGCATCAACTGCTGTTCCTGCCTTCCCAACCACACCTTAGAGAGTTTTCTGGGTGAACTAAGCGATTAGCTTCTAGACAGTAGACGATGTTTCATATTTATTTATATATATTTGTTTGAATGATAAACTTTTAAAGACAGTAAGTCGGATAAAATCCTTGCCATGTAACTGATCCTGGTCTCTCCCACTGACGTCTTAAAGTCTACCATTTGGTTGTTTGGTTATCGGATGATCATCCTGCTGTAGTCCACAAATGGGTTTTAGCCAAACGTTTGTCACAGACATTTTCAAGTGATTTGTCTGAAGTGAAAAGTGGGCACAGACCAGCATCAGTACAAAGTTGATCTGCACTTTAATTCTCATCTTCTCCTTTAATTAAATGTGTGATCTCAGCAAAGTCCCCCCCAAAAAAAACATTCAAAGACGTTTAAAGTAGGAGGGAAAAGGCAGATAACATGCTGACAACACCTCCACTCAGCAAACCACCATCTCAACTATCCACTTCTTCAGTGAGGACACAACCACTTTCATACAGAGGGCCAAATGTCCCCCGAGAAAACTACAAGACACCACCCACTCAACATGAAGATGTAGGACTGATTATACAACTCGCGCCCTCATCTGCGCATTCCAAGCACAAGAGCCATGAAGACAACGCACACGTCTAGAGGGTGGGGGAGAATTGGGCACTGAGCTACACTTGGTTCCCTTTTTTGAGACACAAGCCAATGACACATTGAGGTAGACCAAAGCTTGCATCTACCACCTACCATTGTCGACACCAGATGGAGACTGATACCAAAGAAGACACAGCATCCACCCAAACAGAGGCAGACATCTTTTTCAGTACATCAGATGACGCACACCGATATTAACCACCCCGACGAGGTCACATTTTTCTTTTAAAATGCATTGGCCCCTCCTGTACCGTTTAGGGGTTGCAAAATCAAAACAAGCAACACACTCTGCCAACACTTGCTGATGCCATCCCCGACTGATCCAATAGATGAGTTACACCCCCAGAATCACTTTGGAGTCAACACAAGACAACTGATGAAGACAAAGACACTGCTGACAACACTTTCAAGCAGCACACTCAGAGCCCAGTCAGGCCCACTTTTTTTTTTTTTATCCCTCTGTGTTTCCTCCCACATGGAATTCAGCTTTTCTCTCCTGCTCTTTTCTCCTCATCTCATCTTCTCCTCCTCCTTCTCCTGATTTATCTTCCTCCATGCATCCCTGTTAAGCTATCCCTTTTTTATGAGTGTAGTTTTCTCAATATTTCAGAGTCTCTAGAACCTGTGTAACGCCTTCCATGTGATGCAGGTTTGGCAATATACGGCTAAGAGGAGCCAGCTTCCCCCCAACTGAAATGTGCTCTGGCAGCCTCAAGGTCTACCAGTGGGTGTTAAGCGGACTATTTCAAAACGGGACGGAACCACCAGCCCAACCCTACTGATGGGCATTTCAACTTGATATACCCAGAAATCGACCCTGACGTGGAGAGTTGTTACCCCCCCAAAAGAGGAAATCGATAAAGAATATGCGATGCAATGACAATGAGTGGAGAGTGGTGGAACTGCTGCAGCAAATATCTTCCTCCTACTGTTTGTAAGCTTGCAGTAAGTAAATCGAGACCCTCCTCAAGGAACATAACTGCACAGCACCACATAACCCCAAAAGCCCAGCATCCAACATCGCCACACAAAGACTGACACAACCCCGATTTTATGTTTCTATCCTGAAGCAGGCTGGTGGTGGTCGTGGTTCAGTCTGAACCTGCATTTCTAACGCACTTAAAAACTGACTGTTATGTTTTTTCCTCATGTTCTGCTCCCTCTGTTGGCGCTGTGCTGCCTTCAGGGACCTCCTTTTGTGGTTCCCTGGATGTGTGTGATAGTTTCTTTGGGGAGTAAAACTGTTTTTAATTTGAAGACGAGGCTTTTAGATTGAATAATGTGCTTGACTCTTGACCGACTTGGTTAAATTTTCCAAGCATCCAACAGTTTGTAAACTGGGGTGAGCTTTTAATCCACCCGCCACAATGGCTGCTGGTGTCCAAAATTGTATGAGCTGCTTCTGACATCTTTGTTGCCTCATTTCTTTAGGAGTCTGCATGAGTCCCAGTTGATCACGTATAAAAGCTACCGGGCAATTATCATGTTTTTTATTTTTTTCAATTAGTCCTGAAATACTTCCAAAAAATGAGGAAAGCTGACTTTGTCTCGAGTCACTCTCCTGACATGTAGCGGAGGTTAATCCACATGCCGAGGGGGAAAAAAGAAATGTACCTTTTTTGTTTTTTCTTTGATTAACCTGGCTTCCATTCTGATTGTGTATGATTATTGTGTACCTGTACAGATGGTGACGCAGATGGCAATGGCAGCAATTCAGGTGTGTGTGAGCGTACCAACTTTTATTTTTAAAATCTAGATTTTTGTGATTCTTAATCCCGAGTGAATTGTTTTCTTAGATCATCAGCATCCCCCCCCACCTCATGTTTTCCACCCCCCTGCCCCCCCCCTGCCTGTCACACTTGATATGTTAAAGTGTTAACAATATGGATGTTTTTAGATTGAACTAGTGTGTTTGGGACCTAATTGGAAAAACTGACTAAAACAACAAACACTCTTCTTCTAGTCTACAGGTGTTTGTGTGGTGGGAGGGTTAATACATCTGTGTTGTTCTGTTTTCTACAGGCAGGATGACTCAGTCTTGAAATGCATGTCTGCCACAAGCTCTAATTGATTGACTTTATTTTAAAAAAATAAGGCAGAAATCCTGAAGGTGTGCATCTGAATGTCAGTTTAGCAAACAGTAACATTGCTCAAATGCTCAGCCATCCCTTTGTGATGTCACAGTGTCAGTCAGCCTTGTTGTCATACTTATCCTTCCTTTTTTCTTTCTTTACCTTTTCTCCTTTGTCGCCTTCTTCTTTTGTTCTCAGACGACGTGAACGCCAACCCAAACAAGCGCCAGAGACAGCCCGCTCTGCTCGGCGACCATCCTCCAGAGTACGGTAAGTCTCTCGGACAAAAAAGGGAACACACACGACTATCGGGGGGAGAAAAACAAACTGTCTGTGTTGCTCTTAGAGGTGAAATGTTAAGTCCTGGAATATGTCCTCTGCAGACTTTGCCTTATTACTGTTTCCTCTCCCTCAATCATCCAGGCGGTGGTTACCATGGCTACGACGAGAGCTACGGGTCCCCACCCTACGAGGGCCGTCGCATCGGGCCACCGATGAGAGGCCGCGGTGGTAGAAGTTACGGGCCAGGGTACGGACCTCCCCCTCCTCCTCCCGGCGAGTACGGTGGCCACGCCGAGTCCCCGGTGGTCATGTTGTACGGACTGGACCCCGCAAAGATGAATGCCGACCGGGTCTTCAACATCTTTTGCCTCTATGGAAATGTAGAGCGGGTCAGTATCCGACAATGAATGTTATCTACTTACCTGTACTGCTTACAAATAATACATTTAAAAAAATAAAGGCCAGCAATTATATATTTTTTTTTTCTCAATTTCCTGATCTGATGAAATGATCCAATCTGTGACTTCAATGTGTTCTTGATTAAACAGAACATAATGCCTTCTCAATTAAATGAACTGTAACATTTGTATGGGACACACAAAAAACACAATTTGTTATTGTGGCCGGTAAAAAATATGTTTTGCCCGTGAATTTTTTTCATCTACCTGCCACCTCGGCCAGTGAGTCAAAAAGTTAATTTTGGACCCTGAATGCAGCTTTTCAACTTGTAATGTCTAAATAAAGAAATGTGCCAGAGTAAGACGAGGCTGCCCTAATCCTGCACACTGTCTCGCTTCATGCTGACAACGCTTCAGTCTTTTTACAACAGGAAATAATCATTATTTCCTCTAAAGCCTCCTTGGTGTAGCCCAGTGACAGTTTTCAAATTGGTAAATGTGTACAAAGCCACAACAACACACGACCAGGCTCCAAACCCTCATCTCCTACTCAACAACTTGACAGATTAGTCTTTTATGGCGCTTAATGACAGGGTGGCACCTACTTTGAGAAAACTGGTTAATCCTGTCCTCTTCTGTCACTTTCTAAAGGTGAAGTTCATGAAGACTAAGCCCGGGGCCGCCATGGTGGAAATGGGAGACTGTTATGCGGTGGACCGTGCTATCAACAACCTGAACAACAACTTTCTCTTTGGACAGAGAATGAATGTGTGGTGAGTAGAAGAAGTGGAGAAACATGACTTGTTTGAACTCCTTCATTAGTAGCAGAGAATTTAGAATGAATGTATCACTATGGAGATTTTGTCCATTTGGTCAAATGTTTCCTCTTCATCTGGTCATCATTTTGTCTGTGTTAGTGCGTATGGAATCATTTTTGGTAAGAAAGTCTCTCTCGACACATTTTGGAATGCAATTTTTTTTAATAGATCAATAGAACACTTGAAAACAAATGTACTACCCTCTGAAGTCACTAAGGACAAAGATGTCCACTTCACCAAAAACTGCTATAAAAATAGAACAGATTGATCTTTTTTTGCATAAATCGCTAAACTCCAGCCCTGCTCAAAATTATCAAATATTGAATCATTGAGGAATTTAACCCTTTAAATGCCAGAATAATGAAACAAACTGGCATTTAAAGGGTTAAATTCCTAGGGTTGTTTTGAGCAGGGCTGAAGTTGTTTAAGAGATTTATGCAGAAAAAATATATCAATCTGTTCTTTTTTTAAAAAAAAATTTATATAGCAGTTTTTTGGCATGGACAAAGAGTAAATTAATCTGATGCCTGAGGGTTAACGATACTCTTAGGAACGATACTTAAAACTAAAGCCAGCATGCCATTCTGCACATTTCTAATATCATACTCTTTTTGAAGGGCTTCAAATGTCGAAGCTTCAGCCTCCCTAAGTCTCTCTTTTTAATAATGATCATCCCTCCCTGCAGTGTGTCCAAGCAGCAGGCCATTGTACCCGGTCAGTGCTACGAGCTGGAAGACGGAACGAGCAGTTTCAAGGACTTCCACGGATCCAGGAACAACCGCTTCACGTCCCCGGAGCAGGCGGCCAAAAACCGCATTCAGCACCCCAGCAACGTGTTGCACTTCTTTAACGCCCAGCCAGACGTCACACCTGAGATTTTCTCCCAGGTCTGTGGAAGGGAGGACATGTTGGCGTTTTTTCAAAGGGCACTCAAGTGACTGATGTGAAAAATCCTTCATCACTGCTTGTGTGTGTGCGGTTTCTAATTTATTGTTTTTCTCTCCAGATCTGTGAAGAGATCGGGGTCAAGAACCCCGTCAACGTCAAAATGTTCACAGGAAAGAGTAAGCTGTTTTTTAAAATCTGCGTTTTGTGTATCACATTGCATGGTTAAAATCAAACATGGCTGCTGTTACCTCCCATTATACTGAAAACTAAGAATGCCCCTCTGATGGTCAGGTGGTGCGGCGCCCAGTGACCGCAGTGCGTCAGGTCTGCTAGAGTGGGAGTCCATCAATGATGCCATGGAGGCCCTGGCCTTGATGAACCACTACCAGATGAAAAACGCATGTATGTATACAACCCAGGAATGTACTGCTGCTTCTGAAGAGCAGGAAATCCCAACGATAACTGAGGAGGAAGGCAACCATGTGACCTTTGAAACAGTGAAAAAAGCTGTGCCTAGATGTAAATATGAGTAATGTGTAAATACACAGTTTGTAAACGTCATTTAGAAACAATCTAACATGGAGTCTCTTCTCTCTCTCTCTCTCTCAGCTGGTCCGTACCCCTACACCCTCAAACTGTGCTTCTCCACCGTTCAGCACGCCAACTGAGCGCGCCCCTGAAGCCAGGGAGACGACGACGAAGAAGATTGGTCCGCCATTCCCAAGTTCACATGTACTTAGCGACGCACCTGGGGGAAATTAATTTCAAACACGCCTCAATATGTTAAAATATATCTCCTCATACTTGTGTTTAGAGTTTTACCACAATCATAACAAAGCCCGATCCGTCATTGGACATGTTTGGATATTTATGCCCCAGATGTGGTTTAAAGTACGAGTACCTGTGTCTTCAATATTCAGTTTTTATTTCTTTTTGTATTCTGCTTCTACAGAAACCGGACGTGTGAGAAAAGCCTGTTTGGAGAGAGTTGATTTTATGCTCAGGTGGTTCAGTGGCCACGCTCGTCGTGGTTTTGTAAAAGATTTTTTTGTCTTTTTTGAACTTTTAATGGCTCTCTCTTTATTATTTTTCTGTTGTGTTTATTTTTAATTGCTTCATTTTAAGTTCTGTGTCTCCGTGTCTGATACGCAGTTGGATCGTTTTGTTCTAAGAAAATAAAAAAAAAATCAATTTCACCTCGAGTTTGTTTGTGCTTTCCTCCTGATGTTCCAGGTGTGTGTTCTCGTCCAGAATAACTTCAACCAAGACAAAACCTGGAGTTAAAAAAGGAAGCCAATGCGGAAGTGCACAATCCTGCAGTTCATCGAGTGTCCACTAGAGGCTGCAGAAGCACCGGAAGTGAGTCACGTGGACACTCGTTAACAGCAGAAATAAATCTCTAAACATGACTCATGGTTTTTAAAACTTAGGTCTCTTTGATTTAGTTTGGTTCACTTGTTGCTGATTTTGTTTTGTTAACTAGTATTTAAAACGGATCCTGAATATTCAAATTTAACTGCAATGTAAAAATATAAAAGACGAAGTGAAAATCACTGATTGGTAATAACACTTGCATATAAAATGTACAAGAAGTGCTAATTCTGAAGATAAATTGTGTGACTATTAATCATATTGGGTACTTAATTATGAGATCAGTGATCGATCCTAAATGCGAATGTGTCTTCATGTACAGTGGAGATAGTTCTTCACCACTCAGGTCATTTCATTTAAGTTTGTGCTCTGCCCTGTGCAATAACTTCTCCAATGGGGTATAATTAACCATTTAATCTTTTAATTAGCTGTAACAATACCTTCATGTGTTGTCCCTTTCAAAAAAAAAAGATTGAGAAATACAATGAGTGATGAAGTGAAACTATGTGAGACTTATAGAGAAGAAACATTTCTCACACAAGAGAATTAAACTCGTGTTTCACTGAAGTTTCCACCAGATGGCGTCACATCACTTTATCTCCTTCCAGCTGATGGTCAGACAGCCTGAGAAACTTTAATATCTTCTGTTGTCTCAAGTGGACATCATCACAAACAGTTGAACTCTGCAGGTTTAAAAATCTGACATGATTCACTTTTTTTTTTTTTTTTTTTTTTTTCTGCGCGACCGTCGACATAAAACACTAAATATGTTTACCAAGGTAAGCTACAACATTAAATGCTCATCTGTGTTTCATGAGAGAGAATGTGAAGAACGAGCAGATGTTTGTTTTTCTGCAGTTTGACTTTAAATCATCGCATATAATATAGTTATTTATTACAATGTAATGTTTCAATTCAACAGTCGGAGGTGAAATCTGTCCTAGAGTCCTGTGCTTCATGTTTAATCAGTAAAATAACCATTTTTCTGTTTGAATAATTGACATCACCTGAACATATTTACAGTTGAACAGACTGGTTTACAACAAGTGATGAAATGTGGACATCAACCTTTTCATTAAAACTGAACTTTAAGGTTTGGAGCGTTTCTGCACATTGAAACACAAACTTCAGAATAAACATGTAAACATGAATATAGGAGCATCAATAAAGTCACTTTACTCTTACTTTACTGTCCACCCTCATCAGCAAACACAAGCATCTGTCACTTTAAGACTTTTCTATAGTTAGTGCCTTATATTTATTTATACATATTTCATGATCTTAATATTTATCTGTATTTATATTTTTATTTGATATCTTTTATCATATTTTCATGCTTCTGCAGTTTGCATCGTGGTTCGGAGTGAAACTATTTTTCTGTGTGTCCAGTTTGTTGGCATAGTTGACTTCCACTTTGAAGAAGTTCCTTTAGAGTTCTCTCATGCCTGCTGTGCTGCATGTCGACCTGCAGAGGGCGCCACACTCATTTCTACTCCAAGTTAATTCAACTGAGAAAGACAAATATTCATGAGCTCTTAATGACAACAGATCACTCACCCTATAAAGTATCCAACAATTAAATCTGTTTCTTATTTATTTTTATGTTTTTAGAGTCATGTTTACTTTAATTAGATATAAATGTTTGTAAATATATACAGGTGATATATATGGCAAGCCGTTCAGGGAATTAATATATTGAATGAAACTTTGAGAATGGAAGTCTGTAGGGTTATTTCAGCTAATAAGTCAGACACTAAAAAAATCCCTAAAAATGGATGCACAAAGTGCGCTGAGCAATGATTGTTGAACATTACTACTCATAAAAGATAAGATAATCCTTTATTTATCCCACAACGGGGAAATTTACAGGTAAGTACAAAAAGTAAAAGTGTTCCAATAATTGAAGTATGATCTTCAAGGTGACTCATTCTACTTTCCAAATTCTACAAACAGCTGCTTCAAGTATTGGTGTATTTCAGCTGATGTGATTTTGCAAAACCAACATATTCAGCAGGGTGTCTTTTGGATTTGGAGAATTTAAATCAGCTTAAATTCCATATATTCAAAGTTTCATTCAATATTAATTTCCTGAACGGCTTGCCATACATTTATATATATCAACCTTATGACATCACACCTTTGTTACCGTTCCTTTTGAGCTGTTTGACTTTGGGATCCATAACCACTTCCTGTTTCTGTTGCAAGTTAACGTCCTAACCTTCCACCTACCACAAGCTCCTTACTTTATATCAAAATAAAAGCACACAGCAAGTAAAGTACTAAGACAGGACAAAAATACAAAATAAAAGCCTCACAATTTGCATTTTTAATAGTGAAATAATGGAAATTCTAACGTGCGATTAAAATGCGATAAAACATTTGATGTGCGTGTGTGGTATAACACTCAATAGTATTTGGGTACTATTGGTGTGCATGTGTTGTATGATACATGTAAGAGTTTGTATTCACTCTTATATGAAAAGAAGAACTTGTAAGGAGTTTGTTTTACACCGTGGGAGGAATTTGACGTCATACTGGTTACTTTGAATATCAACACATCGCCGTCAGGAAGGTTCACAACGTTTGAAGCGTCTGTGAAGAACTTTCAGGTTTCCATAGGAACACTGATTCAAAAGATGGAGGACAACATCCTTTACACATTACAGTTTGAACAACTAGAGAGACAAGTACATGAATCAAAGATAAACTGTGATCATGTTGAACTGCATGTAGCGTTAATATGGCGGCAACATCTGTCACCGTGGGGGTCGGACTCCCTCTCTGCATCGTTCTCTTTTACGTCACTTCCTGCCTCCTGAGACGACCTCCTCCTGTCTCCTGCTGTGAGCTGCAGGTCTTCTCATTCTTTTTAAGGGGTTTCATAGGACCCTTCCACACACACACACACACACACACACACACACACACACATACGTGCAGCAAATCGTACCAACGCCTCCTTTAAACTTCAGCCCCCCCCTTTAATCAATGATTCTTTTCCACTCCTCTCTCTCTCTTTAAGCCTGGCACGAATCCTTCACTGCTGCTGAATTCTCCCAAATCACCTTATTCAGCTCTCTACCCATACACACACACACACACACACACACACCCCACACACACAGGGAAGCCGCCCCTCACCCTCTCTCTCCCAGGATGATTCCAGTCCATTCCCATTGAGCAGCATTAGCATACAGATGTTAGCCTGAAAAGGGAAAACAGGGCACACAAAGGGCCTGCATGACCAGGAGGGGAGGGAGGGGTCGAGGGGGGGGCTGCACAGGGATGGCCCTTGGCCTTTTTAAGGTCTTACACACACACACACACACACACACTGACACACAACCCCGGGTATTGAATGGTAATGGTAAGTAGCCATGGGGGTTGTGTGAGTCTGCTTCACTCTACTGTTATTCATTCACTAGAGGGAAATCCTCAGCCTGCATGCAGCTGAATGCCAACACACACACACACACACACACACACACACACACACACACACACACACAAATGCATGCAGGCACAAACACACACTTCTTTTCTTCCTTAGTAATAACTTTTTTTGTCTTTCATGAGAACACATTTTTAGCTTGTTATGAAACAATACGGATGTCTTTTTATGACTAACAAAGCAAAGCAGACCATCAGCAATAAGATTGATAAACTCCGTATGATGATGATGATTTAATTTATTTTCATGCACACAAAGTGCCCGACCCTCATGGGCTTATAAGACACCAAAGAATTCAGTTGCAGTGTTTACATTTACATATCATAACATTACAAAGTCTCCGGCTCCTGTCACAGTTCAGTCTTAAACAACGTGTTCTGTCTTTTTCTCCCCAGGCTTTAAAAACAAAAATCTGCCATAACAAAGGTTCCTTTTTTTTTTAAAACACATCTTAAGTTTTTCATAATCGTCTAGCCAAAAGAAATCAACATAAATTGAAGAGCTTCTTTCAAAAAGAAAACATCCCTGATGTCAGCGTACATCGGGCAGTAAAACAAAAAGTCAATCTCTCGTTTTCAGTTTCTCCTAACTCTCACAGCAAACAAACTCGGTCTTCCTCTGGAATTAAACCCGCCGCTCTCTACAGCTAAAGGCAATGTTCCTGAACGTAGCTGAGCTCAGAGGGATCTTTGTCTTTTGGTTAAATTAAATTTAGCTTCTACGCTGTAGCAATCCTTTATGAGACAATATGTTCTTAGTTTTGGTTTGCATCATATATCTACAGACCATTTCTCTTTGTACATTAGAGACATATTATTCTTTATCTCCTGAATATCACAAGTTAACTTATTTAGATGTGGAATACAGATTTTATCTCCTTTGCCCATAGGTGACAATGGCAGGTATCCCAAATAAAAATATTTTTTGCTTATTATTTTGAAGGCCTAAAACCACACAGATCCCTGCAGGATCAGCCTTTGTGGACATATTAGTTTGTAAGAGCCACAGAGAGAGAGAGAGAGACATTAAATGGTTAAAGAGACTTTGGGATGAGATTGTTTGTGAGAGAACAGCACACACATGTTCAGGATGGAATCACTCTTTTCTCCCGATCACTTATTACATCTTTAAAAAACGAAGAAAGCAAACATAATGCACAATCCGCATTTTTGTTTCTGTTATTTTTGTTTTGTTTATAAAAGAAAAACATGTAAAAAATCTGCTCTTGAGAAAAGTGATGACATGTTGAGAGTTCTTTCCTTCTCCCTTTTTTAGAGAGTAAAGATGTTGTGCTTTGTCCTCAGACTCTCTAGTGGTTACATTAGTTAATTGGTCCAAAACAATGTGAATTTAGATGATCTTTTCTTAGAGCTG